ATGTAATTGTATAAATTTATTGTATATGAAATCTTGGATGACTTGCATTTTATATGATATTTGTGAAATGAGTCGAGAAATTTGGAGCTAAACATAAATCTTCACACATTTCATTATATGAAAGGAAAGATGAGTAGAATTCTTTTTATCACATTTAGAATATTATCTTAGTAACCATCATGAAATCTTCAATGTCGTGATCTTGACATCATCTTTAAGCAAATGTAAAAATGCTAAATGGCTCAGTTATATTGCTAGCCTTTGCAAGAAGTTGGGTCCCCAATTAAGTAATTAATTTGATTCCACATAGGAATATGAGAAAAAAAATGGTATAAAAAAGGAAATGGAGTCCCTTGCGATGTATTTTACTTATTTCAATACAAAATCCTGGTTATTTTTATGTAACATTGCTGGGTGATATATATATATGCGGCAAAGAAGTAATTCCAACAGTTTGGACATATTACAAGAAGATAGAACTTATATACTTGTAATATGGTGTGTATGTAACTGTTCTGTTTCACTGTGTCTTGATAAAGGAGCAGATCGCTCTGAAAATTTGACAACCTAAACTTGTCTACACTGTTGGAATTACTTCTTTGCCCCATATACTATTTTAAATAATTCGTATCCTACGGACATACCTCCATTAGGATCCAGTGTTATATGGGATTTTAACGTCTATATTACTTCTTTGACCCATATATGGGGCATAGAAGTAATTCCAACAGTGTGGACAAGTTTAGGTTGTCAAATTATATATATATAAATTAAACAAAACACAAAGACTAGTATAATCGGTTAGCGCTTTTGTGACATCATAAATGGAGTACACATACTTTAAGACGTCAAAAATGATGACGTCATAAACAAAGTATCAAATGCAGTAAGTACCGATAAGGCCAACAAATTTGACCGGTGTTTTCACTGCATGTTATATGGTACATGTTGTTGATGTGTGACCATGACAAATTGTCATGTAGATTCAGTCCATCATTTTATACATTTTCTGTTTCTAATTGTCCTACTTTTGAATTGGTTTTTGGCGTTATAGTATTTTTTGTGTAATTATTAAGTATTTGACATCTTCTTCAAAAAATTGTAATTTTCTATATACAATTCAATCTTATTCAAATCATATCCTAATTCCTGTTTCTTTAGGATACTCTTCTATGAAGAACTTAATGATTTTGGTACCAAATAATTATGAAATGATACTACACGTTTATTATATTATATAGAAATGTAACATGACCCGTCACAACATGTGGAATGTTGCTGTAACTGTTAATTAAATGTGATCATATGACTTTGGGGGGGGG